GAGTTAATGCAGCATTTATAGAGAAGGCGAAGAATAGTATTTTGCAGACTTTTTGAGTGGTATTTAAAGCAGTAGACTTGTTTTTATGACTCAGATGAACTAGAGGATTGCATTGTCTTCTAATGAATAATGAAGTATATCTGCGATTTATTAGTCTGCGATACAAGTGAGGCAGTGAGAAGGAAGCAAAATCTTAACATGCCTTGTAATACCTCTCCTGGAAGTAAAGTGATAGTGCCAGATTGGGCTTTAATCAATTGACTTCCCGAGGACGATCTTTCTTGTTTTGATGATCTTGACCTTTTACATCAGTGGTTCTCAACCTTCTTAATGTTCTTCATGTTGTGGTGACCCCCAACCATAAAATTATTGTTGTTGCTACTTCATAACTGCAACTTTGCTACTATTATGATGTAAATATCTGATATGTGGGATATATTTTCATTCATTGGACCAAATTTGAAACAAATACGCAATACACCCAAATTTGAATACTAGTGGGATTGGGGGGGAGGGGTGATGTTGTCATTTGAGAGTTGTAGTTACCGGGATTTATAGTTCACCTACAATCAAAGAGCATTCTGAACTCCACCAACAATGGAATTGAATCACACTTGGCACACAGAACTCAACCAACAGAAAATACTGGAAGGGTTTGGTCGTGAAGTACAACTTCCTTGAGTTTGGGATGCACTTTACCAGAGATGCACTTTACGAGAGATTTAGAATTGTCTGTACGCCCACCTATCCTTAAAATATCCATCCTATTTCTCTTGAACATGCTCAGCATTTTAAAATTTTAATCATTACATCTGGCCCTGCCACAGGTTTTAAATGCGTCGTGATATTATTGTTATTGTTTTGCTTTGTTATGAGTTATTTATTGTTGTTGTGTTTTATTGATGTATTTGGGCTCGGCCTCTTGTAAGCCACACCGAGTCCTGCGGGAGATGGTAGCGGGGTATAAATAAAGGTTTATTATTATTATTATTATTATTATTATTATTATTATTATTATTATTGTAGTTCACCTATATCCAGAGAGAACTGTGGACTCAAACAATGATGAATCTGGACCAAACTTGGTGCGAATTCTCAGTATGCCCAAATATGAACACTGGTGGAGTTTGGGGAAAATAGACCTTGACATTTGGGAGTTGTAGTTGCTGGGATTTCTAGTTCACCTACAATCAGAGAGCATTCTGAACCACACCAACAATAGAATTGGGCCAAACTTCCCACACAGAACCCCCATGACCAACAGAAAATGCTGTGTTTTCAGATGGTCATGGGTGACCCTTCTGAAACCCCCTTGCGACCCTCCCAGGGGTCCCGACCCCCAGGTTGAGAAACACTGTTTTACATGTTTAAGATTTACATTCTCATGATCTCACCACATTGGACATATTAATTGGCCTGATATGAACTATAGGGAAGTCTTCTCTTGACTATCTTAAAGACTCAAGGGACTAATGTATTGTCGTTGGCTTTCATGGCTGGAATCACTCAGTTCTTGTGGGTTTTTTCGGGCTATATGGCCATGTTCTCAAGGGACTATTTAGTGACAGTAGAGCATATGGGCAAAATCTAGAATAGATTCATTGCAATCTGCATAAGGGTTGATTTGCCATTCTGCAATTGATTCAGTGGTTCTGCTCTAGATAAGGATAACAATTGAACTTTGGTCCATTAAAGTGTTGTAGTGTTCTAGGTCATCTTGGTTTATATTAGACGTGCCAACTGAAAAGCGTGCTTCAAAGGCTTGCTTCTCTTGTATGAGTAGAGCATGCTGTTTACTTCAATCTGGCTTTGAAATTGAAATGGTCTCAAAATTGTTGCTGATCCTGGTGAATGAGTTACGGTAGGGACAAGAAGAATGCATTCTCTTTGGTTCATCTGGACATTTCTGTGAACTTCGACACCATTCAGTCTGCCATTCTTCTGAGACCTAGCACATGTAGAATTGGTGGTGGTAGGGGGTGTGGCATGTAACACTTCAAATGACTATAGTTCTTTCTAGAGGGGTGTACCCAAGAAGTGGTGTTGAAGGTTCTCTTTTCTTCCTTTTGGTTGGCTTTTCAGGTGATTTAGGACTTTTGCCTTGTTTCCCATGCCTTTTGTCATTTGGAGACCTTGTCCTGGTTGGGGCTTTTTTCTTCTGCGGTTGGTGTGCTAATAGTGCTTTCCTTTCAAAAAAATAGTCCTGGGCAATTATCTGGATGCCGCTTTGAGAAAGGAGAAAGCAAAGTTGAATGTCAGTTCAGAATAAGGTGGTATTGTAAGGGCTTTAAAACTGGATGGGGGTGTGAGATTATTGTGGGAAGAGATTGTCTTTCTCTTGAAGGACCAAGGGCATGGCTTGGGGATTCTCCTGTACTTGAGACTATTTGTAAAGGCACAGATTTTGTTGGTTTCCAGAAGCAGATTTTATCCTTCGACTCTACTACAGTCATTCATGACTAAGGGCTCTTCCACACTGCCCTTTATCCCAGGATCTGATCCCAGTTTATCTGCTTTAAACTGTAATATATGAGTCCCCTTCCAGATAATCCTGGGATAAACAGATAATCTGGGATGAGATCATGGGATAAAGGTGCAGTGTGGAGGGGGCCTTAGAACCCTTTCCACACAGCTGAATAAAATCCCACATTTTCTGCATTTAACTGAAATACATGGCAATGTGGACTCAGATAACCCAGTTCAAAGCAGCTATTGTGGGTTTTTCCACCTTGAAATTCTTGGTTATATGGCTGTGTGGACGAGCCGTGACTGAGCTGGAGTTGATTTCGGGCTATTTATTATTTATTTATTTATCGTGTCAGGAGCAACCAGACATTTGTATTACATTTTTAACAAAACAAACAAACAGACAAAACACAAAGTTTGCAAGCTTGGTAGTTGATTAAATGTCCTTTGACCAGTGCCTTTGACTTGGAGTGCCTCTGGTGTTGCTGCAAGGAGGTCCTCCCTTGTGCATGTAGCAGGGCTCAGGTTGCATTGCAGCAGGTGGTCAGTGGTTTGCTCTTCTCCAAACTCGCATGTCATGGATTCCACTTTGTGGCCCCATTTCTGGAGGTTGGCTCTGCATCTGGTGGTGCCAGAGCGCAGTCAGTTCAGCCCCCTCCAAGTCACCCAGTTTTCTGTGTGCCCAGGGGGGAGTCTCTCATTTGGTATCAACCATTGATTGAGGTTCTGGGTTTGAGCCTGCCACTTTTGGACTCTCGCTTGCTGAGGTGTTCCAGCGAGTGTCTCTGTAGATCTTAGAAAACTATGTCTAGATTTAAGTCGTTGACGTGCTGGCTGATACCCAAACAGGGGATGAGCTGGAGATGTCTCTGCCTTGGTCCTTTCACTATTGGCTGCTACTTCCCGGCAGATGTCAGGTGGTGCAATACCGGCTAAACAGTGTAATTTCTCCAGTGGTGTGGGGCGCAGACACCCTGTGATAATGCGGCATGTCTCATTAAGAGCCACATCCACTGACCTTTAGAAAGGTTGCCTACTCCCATACTAATTTGTCTGGTCCTAAGATTAGTCACAAAACCCCAATTTATGTGTTTTATGGTATGATCGAGGTTGGTGGAGGCAAGGGCAACTGCCTCTTCCAAACTTGATAGAACGCCCTCCTGGGATGAGCTTTTCAGTATTTTTCAAATGAACCTTAAAGACTTGCAGGCTGTATTCAATTATTTTAGATTTTTTTTCTACCACATTTTTTAAAAATTGTAGATACTCTTCTTTTGATGAATGATGTTGCATGTTTTGCTGTTTTAACCTTTTGGTTTATGCCCCCCCACCCTTTCTCCCTTGGGAGACTTTGTAAGGAAAGGTGGCCTGAAAATACTTTCAACAGGTGAAAGGAGAAGAATAATTATCAGTCACGGACAAGGTGAATCTGAAGTGCAGGCCTGAGATGTGAGTGAAAGGATTCTTTAGATGCATATTTGATATTTATTGTCCTTTGGAAAATTTCAATGGAATGACATCTGTATCCATTTATATCGAATTATAAACGACAAGCTTTTGACATAACATTTATTTATATTTATTTACAGCTTTTATATTCTGCCCTTCTCACCCCGCAGGGGACTCAGGGCGGATTACAGTGTACACATATATGGCAAACATTCAATGCCAATTTTTGACATACAAACATATACAGACATACGCAGTGGCTATTTAACTTTTTCTGGCTGCCAGGGGAGCTGTCGCTTTCATCGTCCATCTGCGACGCTGATGAAGCACTTCCGCATTCCCCCCATGCTTCCCCACTGGAATGCTTTGCTGGAGTCTTCTTTATGGCCTCATAAATCAGTTAATTTAGCCTCCCCACACTTTAAGGTGGTACCTAATTTTCTTACTTGACAGATGCAAGTGTCTTTTGGGTTGCAAAGGTCGACAACAGGCTACACACAATTAGTTGGAAACCCACTCCAACCCAGGCTGGCTTCGAACTCATGACCTTCTGGTCAGAGTGATCTTAATGCAGCTGACACTCAGCCAGATGCGCCACATTGTTGGATTAAGTGGCCTATAAAAACTAATGTCACAAATGTGTTAATCTGAAAGGCACCAAAGAACACATCAAAATACATCTGGGTCATGTGTCCTAGATGGATAAATATTTCTGATTCTGTGGGAGAGACTGTAATTCAGATTCAGATCCGTACTCAAAGTAGACACCTTTCCTGTAACAATGCACTTTCCTGTTTCTGCCCGAGCTACAGTTTAGGTTTATTGTTATGGGATGGAGCCCAGTTTTATCCAGCTAATATTGTTGCATGGAAGTAATTTCATAATGAGATAACCTTCCCAAAATCAGATTTTAATGACAGTGAAGATGGGATTTTAATCCATGACTAATTTGATGGAGCAAACAGATCCCAATGTGGGGTGTTTTGATTTTACCAGCCTGCATTTTCGCTTGAGGATGCAGTTCTACTGCCAAAACCTGTTTGCTTCTTGTCATGGTGCACTGGGTTATTTTAAGCCTCCCGTACTTGATAGCAGTGATGCTGAAGGTTCGCTTCATGGGTCCTCTTGGGAAAATGTGTGAAATTACTATTTATGAGGAGATGGCAAAATAAAAGTGTCTTGGGGCTATTTAGAGCTTGGGGGCACTTCACGCAGTGTGGAGGCGGGCATGTAATGACTGCGTTGTTGTTTGTGGTGGTGGGTGTGAATGAGAGAGGAATGTTTACAAGCTCATAGTAGATAACATATTAGGGAATTGTTTCTAGTACATCGGGAGAGTTGTGCCTCTTGGCTTCATACTGAATGTGCCCAAGGATTTCGAGTACCAGTATAAAAGGCATCCCTGCTGATATCAACCGTTCCACTGATCTCAGCAGGTTTGACAATTGAGGTGTCAATTTATTTTTTCTAAATTAATGTTGTGTTTTTTGAGCTGTGAAAAAGAAGGAAAACTATCAGGCTACTGCAATAAATAGGGGTCTAGTGTCTAGACCAGGGGTCCTCAAACTTTTTAAACAGAGGGCCAGGTCATAGTCCCTCAAACTGTTAGAGGGCTGGATTATAATTTGAAAAAATAATGAATGATTTCCTATGCACACTGCACATATCTTATTTGAAGTGCAAAAAAACCTCACTTAAAAACAATACAATCATTAAAATAAAGAACAATTTTAACAAATATAAACTTATTAGTATTTATTAGAATTTATTTATTTATTTATTTGACTTGTATACCGCCACTCCCAGTTTGGCTCGGAGCGGTTTACAGCAGTAGATTAAAACAATACAACCAACCTGCTCGTGATTCCGCCTGCGTCGCAGGCGCGTTTGGTGGGGATGCAAGACAGGGCCTTTTCTGTGGTGGCCCCCCGACTCTGGAATACCCTCCCCAAAGATCTTAGACAGGCCCCTACGTTGGCAGTCTTTAGAAAGAACTTGAAGACCTGGCTGTTCCGATGTGGCTTTCCAGAATAGGAAAACTCCAACAGCAAGTCCCAGAAGCACTTTATTAGAAATAAAGATTGCTGGCACACTACACTTACCCTATAATCCTTACATATCACCGGTCACATCAGCACTTTTAATCTGTACCCATTACTGTGGCCTGGCCCAGTTTTATTGTGTCCTGGTGTATTGTTTATTGCTTGT